TTATTATAGAAATATAAGTTGCTACCACCATTGTCTTTTCCCCTCTTGGTTCTTTCTTCATAAATATGCCATTTTAAGAGCTGCATACACTTCTGTTAAGTGAATATTTACTCAGTTAATCTCCTGTTGTGATATATCATCTTTCTTCGATAGATAATCTCAAAGAATGTCTATGGCACAAAAATTCTTTTTCTTTTGGATTATTTTCTCAATATAATGTGGAAAATTTGGGTTTTTATGTCAAAGATATTGTGATACCACAACCAAGGAAGTAGAAAGACTTAACCTGCCATAAAAAAAATCCTACCAATGATTTTACTAGAAGGGAAACAGTCAAAGCCAAAGATAGTTTGTAATGTAAGAGTATTAGGTAGAAAAATTGGTACAATTTCTATTTTACAGACGATTATTTCTCTAATGACCAGTGAGGATGAGCATTTTTTCATGTTTGCTGGCCTCATATATGTCTTCTTTTGAAAAATATCTGTTCATATCCTTTGCCCACTTTTGAATGGGTTTGTTTGTTTTTTTCTTGTAAATCTGTTTTAGTTCTTTGTAGATTCTGGATATTAGCTCTCTGTCAGATGGGGTAGATTGTGAAAATTTTTTCCCATTCTGTTGGCTGCCAGTTTACTCTAATGATTGTTTCTTTTGCTGTGCAGAAGCTCTGGAGTTTAATTAGATCCTATTTGTCTATTTTGGCTTTTGTTGCCAATGCTTTCGGTGTTTTAGTCATGAAGTCCTTGCCTATGCCTATGTCCTGGATGGTTTTGCCTAGGTTTTCTTCTAGCGTTTTTATGGTGCTAGGTCTTATGTTTAAGTCTTTAATCCATCTGGAGTTAATTTTAGTGTAAGGTGTCAGGAAGTTGTCCAGTTTCTGCTTTCTGCTCATGGCTAGGCAGTTATCCCAACACCAATTATTAAACAGGGAATCCTTTCCCCTCTGCTTGTTTTTGTCAGGTTTGTCAAAGATCAGATGGTTGTAGATATGTGGCATTGCTTCCGAGGCCTCTGTTCTGTTCCATTGGTCTATATCTCTGTTTTGGTACCAGTACCATGCTGTTTTGATTACTGTAGCCTTTTAGTATGGTTTGAAGTCAGGTAGCGTGATGCCTCCAGCTTTGTTCTTTTTGCTTAGGACTGTCTTGGCTATGCGGGCTCTGTTTTGGTTCAATATGAAGTTTAAGGCGTTTTTTTCCAGTTCTGTTAATAGGGTCATAGGTAGCTTGATGCGGATAGCATTGAATCTATAAATTACTTTGGGCAGTATGGCCATTTTCACGATATTGATTCTTCCTAACCATAAGCATGGAATGTTTTTCCATATGTCTATGTCCTCTCTTATTTCCTTGAGCAGTGGTTTGTAGTTCTCCTTGAAGAGGTCCTTTATATCCTTTGTTAGTTGTATTCCTAGGTATTTTATGCTCTTTGTAGCAATTGCGAATGGCAGTTTGTTCTTCATTTGGCTCTCTTTATATCTGTTATTGGTGTATAGGAATGCTTGTGATTTTTGCACATTGATCTTGTATCCTGAGACTTTGCTGAAGTTTCTTATCAGTGTAAGGAGATTTTGGGCTGAGACGATGGGGTCTTCTAAATATACAGTCCTTCCTCTGCATTTTATATCCTACTCCATCCCACCTCTAAAAGCATTCCAAATGGATTCTCTTCTGTCTTTGAAGTTGCTAGGAATATATCTATCACTCAACCAATCATCCAGCCAAACATGGGATTTACCTTTTCCTCTTTAACTTCTCTTATGTCTCTTGCTTAATCAGTCATCAAATTTATTTTCTTTTATTTTCTAAAGTTATTGTAATTCACCCTCTCCTCTCAATCTCTGTGATATCAGTGCTGCTTTATTTTTTTATTATCTCAGGTCTGGGGCAGGACAACAACTTCTTCAATGGCCTCCCTTTTCAGTCTTGACTGTCTTAAATCTGTCTTTACTTTGCTACCAAGACTAGTAATATTCTAACAAGCAAATATGTCGTTTCCTTTCTTATAACTTTTCAATGAGTTACCATGATGTGCTAAGAAGTCTCTCTCTCTCTCTCTCTCTCTGTGTGTGTGTGTGTGTAATGAATGAATGAGTATAACATTCTAAGATACCACATCCCTTGGCTCACAAGACTTGTTATAATATGTTTCTGTCTACATTTCTAGTCATACTTTCCATAATTTCTAACTCACTGCTTTATATACGAATAGTTCCATAAATACATCATGTTGCATCACTTCTCTGGACAGGCCTCTTCCTTGTTTTCTTCGTTTGGATAACTTTTAAGGTTTTGGGGATCTCATTCTATGTGTCATTTTCTGTGCCTCCTCACTTCTAATTTATTTATTCTCACACATTTAATTGTCCATAGTATGCCAGAGCAAAATGACAAATTAGGAAATCTCTGCTGGAAAGGATAGGTAGAGAGATAGACATGGTAACCAATAGATATTATTTATTAAAAGAAAGGTTATAATAGAGGAGGAATACAAAAAATGATGAACAGGATGAAGAGAAAATAGAAGGTTTTAATTATTCAAATTGACCTGTGATGCTTAGGAGCTGGGAGGAAAAGAATCTCAAGCAAATGAACCAATGTGTATAAAAACATGGAGGTATGAAAGGGGCTGGATAGGTAATGTTATGACTTAACCATGTCCCTCCCATATCCATATGTTGAACTCCTAATCCCCAGAATGTGACCTTATTTGAATGTGACCTTAATTACCTCAGAATGTGACGTTATTTGAATATAGGGCCCCAACAAAGGCAATCAATTTAAAATGAAGTTATTAGGGAAGACCGTCTTCCAGTGTGACTAGAGTTGTTCTCAGAGAGACCAGTTCTTTTTGTTGAAGACTAATAGAAGACAAGTAAAGACAATGCAGCAATTGAGAGTTGAGTTTTAGCAAACTAATTCTGGTGGTTGGACAGAGGATAGACCAGATGTAGGGAAGTGGAGAGGCTGGTTGAACACCATGAAGTTGTGGCAATCCTTCAGACGAGACAAGAGGTGGAAACTTTGGCCCAACGCCATGGGAGGGTTTTTAAAGAAGATGAAGTAAACATGGAAAATATTTATGAAGGAAAATTGGCAGCGCTTGGTGACATGACTGGATGTGCAAGTGAATAGCACCGCAAAATTGCTTCCATTGCATTTATCCTTATATTATGAGCAACTAACAGTGCCTATCCCTGAAGGTGCAAAGAGAGAAGACACAAGCCAAAGAAAAAACGGAGGTAGACAATGACAGATTTCCTCCCAATGTCTCTCGAGCCTTCATTCAGACCTTGTGGCACAGTCCAGACAATTATAAGTCCTTATCCTAATGGCTCAATATTAAAAACAGTGGGGACTTATTAAAATTGGTTATATATAAAACCCACAAACAAATAAAAGGAAACTGTTAAAAGAAGTCACCAAGAGAATACTAATTGACAAAACAAAACATCGGTGGGCTTCCTTTCTTTGGGAGACTGCACAGAAACTGTGATGGTTAATGTATATCTCAACCTGACTGGACCATAGGATGCACAGATGTCTGCCCAAGCAATATTTTTGAATGTGTCTATCTGTGAGGGAGTTTCTACCAGAGTGTAGCATTTGAATTGGTGGACTGAGTGAAATGGATTGCCCTCTTCAATGTCTCTGGGCATTATCTAATTCATTGAGGATCTGAATAGAACAAAAATGTAAAGGAAGGGAGAATTCACCCTCTCTGCCTGTTTGCTTGGACTGGAGCATTGATCTTCTTCTCGCCTTGATAATCCTGACTCAGGCCTTCAAACCCAGACAGGAATTTATACCATCATCTCTCCATCTCCTAGGCCTTCAAACTACACCACCAACTTTCCAGGTTTTCCAGTTCACAGTAGGCAGATCATAGGACTACTTGGCCTACATCATCAACGGATGTTTGCCAATACTTTGTAATCTCTCTCTCTCTCTACACACACACACACACACACACACACACACACACACAGAATGAGAGAGAGAGAGAGAAAGAGAGAAAGGGACACACACACACACAGAGAGATTCTCTTGGTTTTGTTTCTCTGGAGAACTCTAATACAAAAACTCTTTCTTCATTCCTGCCTTCCTCCTTTCATTGCTCATTTTCCTCTTTTCTCCACCTTCAGCAAATAGTTACTGAGTTCGAACTTCATGCTAGGTGCTACATTAAATGCTGGAGATATGTAGATGTAAAATAAAGAGATAAAAAAGCAAAAACAGTTATAAGGACCTTATGATTTAGTGAACAAAGGATATGTAAACAAAGAATCATAATCTTATGTAGTAGGAGTTGAAGGCACTCAGAGCTAATTGGCAATGCCTTGCTCTGCTTGAGGGAACTAGAAGAGATTGCTCAGAAGCTGTGATTCTTGAGCTGGGTCTTGGAAAAGGCAAGGAAAGGCTCAAAGGCTTGAGAGGATGTGGTATCTTCAGGGAAATGCAAACAGTTGTCTGACTTCTGAATTAGGCCATCTCAGGGCAGACAGAAACCAAGTGAGGAGGTTGGAAGGGTGATCTAAAGGTCTGATCGTTCTTTTTTTTTTTCTTTAATTATGGAACGATTCACGAATTTACGTGTCATCCTTGCGCAGGGGCCATGTTAATCTTCTCTGTATCGTTCCAATTTTAGTATATGTGCTGCCAAAGCGAGCATGAGGTCTGATCATTCAAGCCTGACATCTTTTCATTGAAATATTACCAGTTTGGTCCATGAAATAAGAAAACTTTTGATTTCAGAGAGCAGAAAGCATTTTCCGGACTCTTTTCTCAAACATACTGTATTCAAAACATGAAAAAAATAAGTTAAAGAAATGAATCTAAGCTCAGAGAGCTTCATTAGGGCAATAAACACTTCATTTGGGTCCCACTGTGATAAACTAAACAAATTTCTTCAAGGCTCTGGGCTTCAGCTCCTTTGTAAGACAGTGTTACATGGCGGAAAGGCTGCAGAATTTGAATATTAGTTAGCACTCAGTGACTTACCGGCCAAACCACTCAGGATTAGTTGCTTTGTTTCCTTGAGTCTCCTTTTGCTTCCTGGGCAGTACTTACACTCCAGCTCTCAGTTTAACCTCCTTCAGGAAAACTGAAGTCACCACTGCTCCTGCTGGACCTGGAGGTTAGCAGGAAAATGCAGATGTATAATAAGAGAGAGGGAAAGTGACTCTAGTCCTTTTGGGTTGGGCATGAGAGTCACAAGCCAGAGCTGGGGAATCAGAGCATGGCTACATCACTACTTTGAGTGAAGTAAATAAGTCAGCTAAATGAAAGTACTCCAATTGGTAGTTTCTGGCTATAGCAGAGCCATCTAGTCAAAAAGCATAATCCCAGGGCATGAAAAATCAGAATCACAGAACATTGGTACAAGGAGGAACCTTATAGGTTTTTTTTTTTTTTTTTTTTTTGAGGCGGAGTTTCGCTCTTGTTACCCAGGCTGGAGTGCAATGGCGTGATCTCGGCTCACCGCAACCTCCGCCTTCCAGGTTCAGGCAATTCTCCTGCCTCAGCCTCCTGAATAGCTGGGATTACAGGCACGCACCACCATGCCCAGCTAATTTTTTGTATTTTTAGTAGAGATGGGGTTTCACCATGTTGGCCAGGATGGTCTCGATCGATCTCTTGACCTCGTGATCCACCCGCCTCGGCCTCCCAAAGTGCTGGGATTACAGGCGTGAGCCACCGCCACCGTGTGTTGATTCAAACTCCTTCATTATCAAGAGGAGAAAACCAAGAGAGTCTAGGAAAGCTCTGTTAACCAAACATTATTAGGCATCTTATTACTCTTTTATTAGAAGAAATCTGGTATTAGGAAAAATTCAACTTCACCTGAACAACTGGTTTGGTCCTTATCTTTTGGGCATAGAAAACCTGATTACAGATTGCACTGCCAGATAAAATACAGGACATCCAGATAAAGCTGAATTTTCGATAGACACTAAATAATTTTTTTAGTATAAATGTATCCTTAATATTGCATAAATATAGAACACTAAAATTATTCATTTTAATTAGAAATTCAAATTTAACTTGGCTTTCTATTATTTTTCTATATCTGGCGACCCTAATTATAGAGTGTCTTTTCATTTCCCATCTTTGCTCTGACTGTTAGGAAGCTTAAAGGCAAATGTATCATCATTGTTTTCTAACAGTGATTTATGGTACGCACTTGGCTTTATCTTTCTTGTTTGTTTATTTTCCATTCACCCTTTTCTTCATTAAAGAAATCTGGTTGTTACAAGTGTCTCAATAAGCAACATCAAAAACTTTGCTTGGATATTAACCCACAACATGGGGTACTAATTAAGGGCTTTACCTTGTACTTAGTCTTGCAGATGTAAATATAGGTAATACCTTCTGTCCAATCGCAAGAGCCATACTCAAGTTGGGGGAGACCCTTGTGTATACAAGTAATCAAAATACAGAGAGATGAATGATGCAGCCCAAGGTCACACAGCTAGTTGGTGTCAGAATCAAGCTGTGTTTCCTTACATTGCATTCCATGTAGTTGGCTAGTTCACAAGAACTTTGTTACCCATATCTACCTAAATACCTTTGAGACAGTTCAGTAGGCACTGATCGTTTGACCTTCTCTGCACCCATCATTTTTCTAGGAGTAGCATCCCTTTATAGAGGCAATTGCTCCTTCTCTTCCTCAAACTTCGCAATAATAATAGGATCTTCCAATCAGTGTACTTCTTCTCCACGATATCAGATGTTGGATTGAGGATGTGGACATGTCACCAAGCCAGAGCAATTCTTAGGCCTTTCCCAAGAATTGGGACCAAACTGGAACAAGAGAAAGAGCAGTCCCTGTCTGGTGGCAAAGATGGAGATGAAAAGGTAAGCAATAGCTATATCCCTTGCAGTGTGGAGGAAGCCAGGCTGAGCACATAAAGTGAATACACAAAGAGCAGCAGAGACACTTACAGCATTCACGTCTTTAATTTCATCTGCTCTCAAAGCTCTGCTGCAAGTCTGCTCTGTCCTTTTAACTGAAAATAATTTCAGTCATGTTTTTGTCTCTTTCAACCAAACTGGTTATGGCTAATAGAGATAATTTGAGCTGAATTACTATTGGCATTTTCCCAATGGGCTTTCAGAATTATGTGGCCTATGGCACAGTTTCCACAAAGCTCATTCTGTCTCCATACAATTCAGAAAAGCTCCTGTTGTTTTAATGACACTGCTACAACCAGTATTCTCCCAGTTGGCTTCCAAGACACCCTCAAGATGCTTTCACTTATGACAGATTTGCATCTAGCAAGATCAAGCAGCACCATGGTGGGTTTATGCTAAATAGCCAAGCTGACTTCAAGCTAGCTTCATGCTGCTCTTGTCATTGCTCCCATTTTAAAGACAGGGAAATTACAAGCTGGATAGGCAAAGAAGGTTGTTCAAGTTCAGACATATTTGGCTAAGTTTATGTTAGAATCTATGTCTCTTGTCTCTTAGGACATTGCTTGTTCCACGATAGTCCCTCTTAAAATCTGCTATCATTTTTTGAGAATCTTCAATATGGGAAAAAATTGATTATGACAACATAAGAAGAGCAAAAAGTACTCAGGTTTCTGGTTACATATTAAAATTAGTCATTTGAGGGAGGAAACCTTGAGAAAGGTGTTAGACATAATATACACTTGAGCACCCTCATTTTGGCTGTACATAACAATCCCCTGCGAAGCCTTTTAAAATAAAGATTTTTGAGTCACCGCCATTCCCAGAAACACCTACTGAGTGAAAGTGTTTGGGAGATGGGTACCAGATTTTCACATATTTAAAGAACTGCAAAGATGATTTGGATAGAACCAGTCTAAGGACTAGCATTTAGGATCAGTAATGTAGATTTTGTTTGGTTCTTGGGGGGGGAGTTCTATACCTTCAGCTTTTAATTAACAACATTTAGAAAAAAATGTCGCTTTGTTGGATTGATATAATCATTTATACGACCAATGTAGACATAACTATTTTAGCAATGCTTTACCTCGTTCATTCAATCAATATTTACTAATTCCCTACAAGTTGCTGGGTTCTGTACCAGCCACTTGGATTCAAAGATGAGTCGGATGGAAACCCTGCCATCAAGAAGCCTTGAGGAAGAGAGATAATCCAAGAGTATACCTGATATTTAAATGAGATGGTGATGTCAGCATACGATGGGTTGGCGTTCCCAGGAAGAAGCTGGTGAGAATCAGGGAGGGTTTCTTGGGAGAGTATTTGAACTGGGCCCTGAAGGGCATGTAGGATTTGGACTTGCAGATGAGAGAAAGATCAACTCAGGCAGAGGAAACAGTATGAGCCGAGAATAGGAGAAGGGAAGTAATAGTAATAATAATGATAATGATAACTGTAATAGTAATAGCAGCAAGAAATTATTTAGCACTTGCCATATATGCCAATTACTGTTATAAGTGCTTTGTGCAGGCATCTCATTCAAACCTCACACCAAAGCAATGAAGTAGGTACTTTCATTATTCTTTATTATACAGACGAGAAAACTGATATACAGATAGGCTTAGTAATTTGCCCAAGGTCATGTGCCAAATAAAATAGGTGGGGGTGGGGGAGGATTTCTGTTTTGGTCAATATATTTTTGTGGAATGAGTGGATATTTTAATCCAATATCCTCATTTCAAAGATGTGGAAACTAATGTTCAGAAAGGTTAGGATCACTCAACTGGTTGGTGGCAGTGCTAGAATGAGTCATTTTAATGCATTTTCCACTATGCCAAGCATGCAGTGTGAGACTAAGTGAGAGCAAAATCTTAGTATATCATTCTCTCTTAATCAAAAATTATTTTGAGGAACTGTGATATCTTGAAAAGTAGCTAAACCCAGAGCTGACCTCTAACCAAGATACAGCTTTTAAATCAGGAGGACACATCACAAGGAAGAAGAAGTAAAGCATGGTAGAGCGGAACTTATTTTGTACAAGTCTCATCTCTAAAGAGATGCAATTAGACAAGAAGATTCTTAAAGGTCCTTCTACGTTGGATACTCCGTATCATCCTAGGCAGGGCCGGAAACTGAGATAATATCTATATAAGTCTCTAGGTTTAATGGACTGAAATGTAGCCAGCAATAAATAATCATGGTTTAAGAAACCTACGTCTGGAGGCCAGAAAACAGCTGTTAGGTAAATGGAGAGGGTAGCATTCTTTGATTGAGTCTTTATTCTTCACTTACTGTTTCAGATGATGCTGAGAAAGTCACTTGCTGCATTTATGAAAACCTCCTGGATCTAATCAATTTCCTCCTTCCCAAAGATGGGACTTGGCAGGAGAGTGCATCGTTTTCAGTGATGCTGCAAACTGAAGAAAAGACAGAGTTATCTTCAGTTGAGGCCACCTGGACACTTCTGGTTTATTGTCTATTGTTCCATCCTAGAGAGCATGCCCCTTCCGACCTGAGCTGAAAGCATTCCCTACTTGAAGTAATAAGATAGGTTCATGTGTACTCCCTATGTTGTGCTGCATTTTTTTTAAATAAAAGAAATTTTAAAAGTATGAGAGTTGAGGGTTGCTTATAATTCATTTTGACTGATGCCATTGCATCTAATGCAATATTTAGCTGTTTCATCTGTTTAGAAGCCTGAGAAGAGCAGTGATCCTGGAAAACATTCTCCACCTATTGTAAAACAAGATGGATGGAGAGCATTTTTTCTACACAGCAACAATCATTACACTTTAAATTTATATAGCACCTGCCTCTGGAGAGTCTCAAAGAGACTTTGAGAATGTTTTTTTTCATTCCTCATTTTAAGAAGCCTGTAGTGTCAGTTAAAGAGATCTCCTGTCACATGCAGAGTCAGAAAGTGAGGCACACGACTAGCCTCCAGATTTCTTGAAAATTCTCTAGTCTGTAGTTTTGTTGCTAAAGTCAAGGTTGCCCCTGGCTGAGGCACCAAAGAACAGCACTTTGATTTATCAAGTCCCTGAATTTTGAACACATTGGCAGCTCTCTGGTGGATGCAAAGGCAAGAAAAGATCCTTGCTCTCATTTGTTAAAATATCAGAGTCAATATTGAGCATAATTGGAGAAGAGATTTTATAAATATGGAAAGGGGAAGTCTAGAGAGAAACCCGAAGTGTTAGATTGGAACTGGGGATATATGAGTAAACTCAGCTTTGTTTTAAAATATATATCCATAGATGTAGAAATAGACATAGATGTGTATATATATGTATGCATGTATATGCATGTGTGTTAATGTATGTATATACATGCATATATTTCTTACTGCTGAAAGGACCTAAAAACAATGCCATTCCAGTAGCAATGTGCACACCCGGCTCCCATATCTTACTTTCCAAATATAATTTTTCACTAAAAAAAAACAAGGTCCCATGGAAAAATGGTTGATTCTAAGATGGAGGCAGAAAAAATATAAGATGAGCTCAAAACATTTTTGGCAACAGAAAGTAGGAAAATGCTCAAAGAATATGGTAACAAGTCAAAGGAAATAAGAGTCAGATTGAAGGGGCTCCTGCTGTCCAAACCTAGGACAATTTAAGCATCAAAATAAATAATGATTGTAACAGATTACCACTCATTGCATAAAATAGGAATCCTTGAATTCATACGGACGAGAGAGAGAAGAGAGGAGAGAGAGCGAGAAAGATAGAGAGCTCTTCCTTACAGTTCCAAGAAAACTTCATTTACAAAAATAGGCATTGGGCTGGAATTGGCCTATGGGCTGTAGTGTGCAGACCCTTGACTAAAGGAAGACTTAGACCCTACAAATGGTGTCATCAGAATTATTCCTTGGGACAATGCATTCAGCTACTGGATAGAAAATGGGTTGGAGGGAGTAGAATAAAAATGGGAAGAAGAAGAAGTAGGAGGCTGTCACAACGGTCCACATGTTTGCACCATGGAGAAACCAACATAGCTTTTATAAGCCAAATATACCTGGGAACTTGACCTTACAAACCTTAGCTGACACATAGCTGGGTCTCTCTGTCCTTAGCTGACCTTGATTCTCACCATCTTGCCAGTTTAGCCACCTCTGAAATCTTATGTCAGAGTTTGTGAATCATCTTGGGAGCCCAATTATTCCTTTTCTTTGCTCTACAGTGTTTTTGATTTCGAGACCTAAGTCTGTACTATTTGTATGAGAGGAAAAAATCAATAGAAAGAGAAAGTTTAATAAAAAAAATACATTCTCCATTGACTTTAATTAACTTGGCCTTAGGTTTACAACTCTGGCAAGTATGGAAAATGAAAAAAAAAGAGAGAGAAAAAACAATCTCATATCTCTTCCTATAACACAAAGCTTTTTAAGAATAAAATCTCAAATTGAAATCTGAATGTATCAGCAATTTATTTTCCAGCAACAAGTTGAAGAAAAGGATAAAATGGAAAAGAAAAGAAATTATCTTGTTGGATATGACAAAGAACAGGCTGGTACTTTTAACTCCTGTAATAAATGACCAAACAGCAGAATGAGGACAATGGCTTATCGATGTCATAGAACCCTTGCATGTTCTTCTAGAATCAAATGGTCATGGCATTGATGTCTTCTCCAGTCTCATAAGTTCATATCCATAGTCCTTGAAACTTGTTGGTATTTGCTAGTTTTCTGCCAGGTGACAAGGTTCTCTCTGGAGGAGGCATTAATGGTCAGGAGGAATGATGTGGGTTTCTGCCTCCTGTCAGGTATCTGCAGAGAGAACTCATGAATGCATAGATAGCTCACAGTATTTCACACTCATGAGACTTTTCTGTCATTTGAAATGATGCAGGCTATTGTAGACATGCAAAGTAGTATTACATATGTACACATGCATCTATGCTTACAAGATGCTACATATATTCCATAAGTTCACGTGCGCATTCAGTTGCACAACAGATACATCAGTGAACATTTATTAGCATAGATAAAGCATATATCTGCATAATCAAATGATGGTGTCATGCAAATCTAACACACTATATTTCTTTATACATTTATAACAGGCATTTAGATAAAAATATATGTAAGTCTAAAAATACATTTAAGAGTAAAAACACAAACATATCCAGGTATGTATACTGTGCATACATACACAGTGTCTACATATAATATCCATGTGAATTACACGATCTGGCCCCCATAATCTCTGACTATTTCCCCTATGGCTGTAATACTTCTCCCTCCATCATTATATTCGAAGCTATTCCCTGCTGCCCCACAAATCTCAAGAACATTCCCACCTTAGTGTTTTTGTACTAAGTGCTCCCTGTAAATGAAATACCCTTCCCAGCAGATACCATGAGGACTATTTTACCACTTCTTTTAAGTCTCTGTTCAAATGTTATCTTCTCAGTGTAATCTACATAACTACTCAATCACTCTATTTAAAATTGTAGCCCACTCATTCCAGCCCATGTGGAATAAGTGGGCTACAATTATCTAACTTACCTTATTCTAGCACTTACCACCTTATAAGATATCAGATAATTTACTTATTTATTATGTTTACTTTTCATCATTACTCTCCCCTTCCCTCAACCCACCCTAGCTGAAATATAAACTATGGGAGGGACAGGGATATTTTTCTGGTTTGTTTATGAAGCAAACTATGTTTATTCACTAATGTTCTAAGCAACTAGAACAGAACTAGGCTCAGAAAACACTTGGTATATATGTGTTGAATGAATGAATGAATGAATGTATATACCCATATATGAATATATATATATTCCTAAATGTAGATATGTATGTTTGCTCAACGACATCTATATATCATTTGTGGCAATGTTTATTCCTATAAACATTCCTGTGGTTAAATGTAACCATATTCGGCAGAATGTAATCACATTCAAAGGAACTGAGACACATTGGTAAGGTAGGTGTGTGTGTGTGTGTGTGTGTGTGTGAAGTGTCTGCTCCTGTTGAATGTGCTCAGCAACTCACACTGGAATGTGAAAGGAGTGGGTCGAAGTGACTCCCTGGGCACCCTAGCTACAGTAAACTATCACTACAGTACATAGAGAGGTAAGTCCAAGGTAGCAAGAAGTTTCTGGGAAAAAATAAATACTACATTGGACACTGGGAGATAGATTTTGGACTGTGAGAACTATGTTGGTTCCCAGAACTTAAGTGTCAGAAATGAACTCTGTTCTCTATTAAACTTGATAACAAACTAGTTCAGGATTTCAGCTTTGAAAGCTTTGTTATAAGGTGAAGGAGAGGGACACGGCAGAATAGTTTTGATTTCTTTAGATCTGGGCTCAAACATATCTCTCTCTTTCAAGATTTCCATCAGGCTCATCCTAGGGAATATGAACTAGACTTACAGGGAAAGTTTCAAGTCAGAGGCCATGACTTTTGGAGATTGGTAAAAACATAAAAAGTCACATATTTCTCTTCTCTGCTTTCCACTGTTATCGACTGGATGTTTACGCCTTATCAAAATTCATATGTTGGCCGGGCCAGTGGCTCACGCTTGTAATCCCAGCACTTTGGGCCAATATGTTGAAACTGCATTTCTACTAAAAATTTAAAAATTAGCCAGGTGTAGTGATGGGCACCTTTAATTCCAGCTACTCGGGAGGCTGAGGCAGGAGAATCACTTGAACCCGGGAGGTGGAGATTGCAGCGAGCCTAGATCGTGCCTTTGCACTCCATCCTGGCTAACAAGAGCTTAACTCTGTTGAAAAAAAAAAATTTATATGTTGAAACTTAATCCCTAATGTGATGGCATTTGGAGGTGGGGCCTTTGGAAGGTAATTACATCACAAGGCACCTGCCTTCATGAACAGGAGTAGGATACTTATGAAAGAGGTCTCAAGAGAGATTCCTCACCCCTTCCACCACGTGAGGACACAGCAAGAAGGCCCATACCAGAAACCAAATTCACAAGTGCCTTCACCTAGGACTTCCCAGACTCCAGAACTGTGAGAAATAAATCTGTTATTTATAAGTAGCCTAGTTGATGTTACTTTGTTATAGCAGCCCAAATGGACTAAGACTTCTTTCGTGTGTGTGTGTGTGTGTGTGTATGTGTGTGTGTGTGTTACAGGATATGTTGATTTTAAAAAAGAAATCAAATTCAGATCTGGGCTTCCACAAGCAAATGAATAGAGACAGCCCATTTTGAGACTCAAAGCACCCTTAATCCTCCTATGACTTCTTAGGGACCATAAGAAATGGAATCGTCCTGTCCGATCTGGCTTCCTGACTGACTTGTAATTTCTCTGTAGAGATAAGGCAGGCACATTTCCAAGTACTAACCTCTTTCACATACCTTGCTCTATGACCTAAAAAAATCTTTAAAACATTAATGAGACATAAATAAGGTGACCATGTAATGTATTGTCCAAACGG